TTCCCTACACCGTTTGCCTCCCAGTGTCTGTGCCTCTTAGTGGGTGACGAGACTTCTCTTGAAGGCTCCTGGCTCCCGTATTTTGGAATTTGAAGTGTTGGGAACTCGTGCTAACTAACATTAGCGAAGGTTATTTGCAGTAAGTATCACCAGCCAAGACTGGCTGTAAGTCTTGTTTTAATAGGCCATCTGATTTTACTTCAGTCCGTAATTTTCCAATCTGGGGAAAACTCCCAATTTTCTTTAGTTATCCGATCAAGTAATAAAACTGTCTTCCTCCCATAAGTTTCCATTTGTTAACCGAGCTGTAATCCAGGAGTATTAAAACACACTATATTTAAACATATCCAGTTATTTCCTAGTTAGGCCCTGGCTGGGGTTCTGAGAACAATGCTTGTGTAGCCGTTAGTCACACTCAGCTGATGCCGATAGTGATTCATTCAGACTGGCAGGCGACCAGGTGATCGTTACATAAACACTGACACTCCTAGTCAGTGATTTTTCTTGTGAAGGTGTCATAAATATTGCCCAGTAGCCTTTTTTGGCATTTTATTCCTGATGGAGCAGGGATCCTCGGATTCCTGAAATCCACAGATACACCCACATTTATGTTGATATTCAATAGTATTGACCTCAGGCCTTACCACACCTGTTATAGTTGCTCAGGAAAAATGGAATCCTAGGATTTCAGAGCTGAAGAAGTCCTTGGAGACTGTTTGGGCTAGTCCCCCTTATTTGACTTTTGATGCCCAGAAAAGCTGTGTTCTGTTGAAGGTCACACAGCTAGCTCAGGCTAAACTCCAGATGTCTTAAGATTTTTTTTTTTTTTTTTTTTTTTTGCGGTATGCAGGCCTCTCACTGTTGTGGCTTCTCCCGTTGCGGAGCACAGGCTCCGGACGCGCAGGCTCAGCGGCCATGGCTCATGGGCCCAGCCGCTCCGCGGCATGTGGGATCTTCCCGGACCGGGGCACGAACCCGCATCCCCTGCATCGGCAGGCGGACTCTCAACCACTGCGCCACCAGGGAAGCCCTTAAGATTTTTTTTGAGTAATGATACCACCCCTTTTGCAAACACTGTGTGATATATTTCAGATATGCACTCAATTTTAATGATGTGCTCTGGGGACATACTTTGAGGTGTCTTTGCAGTAGTCCAACAAAAGCAGCTTTACTGGTCGCAGGATGAAGTATATAGTGGCTCCTTATGGATGTCATTTGCATTTTAACATCAAGTGGGCTTAGTTGGATTTACTTATTGGAAGATCTGAGGAGCTTTTCAAATTCTTTTCTTGCCTCATGTTTTGTTTTACTGAATATTGGCCTAGAAAAGTGTCATGCTAAAGGATTCAAGCATTCTGAGATTTGTCTTAGTATTTGAGATGGAATTTTGATTTATAAGGGTTGCTTCCTTAAAAGGCCAAATTATCAGAAAAATATCTACAATGTCTCTTTATACTTTTAGTAAGCAAGTGTGTTTAAAGGCACTCCCTGGAGGAGAAAACTAGTGGGGTTACAGGTCTTGAGGGGAGCATGGATTGTGGATTAGTAGAGGGGAGGGGATTGCCCCAGACCAGCGTGGAGACCGTTCCTGTCTTTGTGGGGAGGAATGAGGAACCGGGCTTGCAGGCAGCCCTCCTGGGGAATGTCAGGGGCAGCTTGTAGCTGAAGACCACACTGAAGGAGGAAGTGGGTTGGGTTGATTGACTAGGCAAAGAGGGAGAGGCCATCCCTGGCTAACGATTTGCAGCAGAAGAGTAGGGGTTCTGGGGACAGGGAAATGGGGAAGTTAGAAGAGGGAGCTGGTATTTTTATTTGTCTGGGATTTGTTGAGGAGGGAGGTGGTGGTAGACAGTTGTGTGTTTCACTTTTAAGAACTTGACACAAATTTTCTAATTTTACACATTTAATGATTACATTTGTTGCTTCTGTTCTTGAACTACTTATTTTTCAAATAGACCTATCATCCTTTTTAATTCATTTTTTTTTAAACTTCTGATTCTCTACTGCTCAGTCTTCTTAATCCATGGTAAGCATGTCTGTTTTATTATGTTGTTAATAAGTTTCTCCATCAGACTTGGCTTTTCCCTTCCATTGGAGCAAGTTCTGTCCTTATAGTTTGATTTAAGTAATGCCTTGTTGTTGAGTTTTGTGGTTTTCTAAGTGCTCTTCTTTTTTCTTTTTCTGTTTTTAAAATTAAAAACCTTTCCCAGTAGGTAACATAGTTGAGGAATTCCCCCACTTTATAGAGGATACAGGCCAATTTAGTGTGTTAGTGGCTTTGCTGGGGCCCAGAGTTTTCTGATTCTAAGTCTGTATTAGTTTCCTAGGACCACCAAACAAAGCCACCACAAACTGGGTGGCTTACAACAAGAGAAATGTATTTTATCACAGTTTGGAAGGCTAGAGTCTGAGGTCAAGGTGTCGGCAGGGCTGTGCTCCCTCTGAAGGCTCTTGGGGAAAATCCTCCCTTGCCCCTCCTCGTTTCTGGTAGCTCCTGGTAATCCTTGTAATCCTTGGCCTTTGTAGACACATCACTCCAGTCTCTGCCTCCATCATCACATGGCAATGGCTTTCGTCTTCAGATCTCCCTTTTTCTTATAAGGACACCAGTCATTGGATTTAGGATCCGCCCTATGCAGTATGACCTCATCTTGACTTGATGACACCTGCAATGATCCTGTTTCCAAATAAGGTCACGTTGATGGGTACCAGGGGTTATGACTTCAACATGACTTTTTGGTGGCACAGCTCAGCACAGCAAAGTCCAGTGTTCCTTCTACTGATGACACACAGCTGGCTTGCTTGCAGCTGGCATCGTGAAGAATTTGAAATTTAACGTTTCCACTTAAAATAGTTGGTGCTTCCATCCTTGATGGGCAGTCAGGGTTTCCTGTCAGGTAGGTCAGAGTAAAGCTTGCTGCTGAGTAGTTATGCCTCCTTTCAGCAGAGGCTGGGGATACCTTATTGTCACTAATGCATCCGTTTTGGGTTGGGGGAGGGCTGGGTTTACTGGTGGGGTTCCACGTGTAACCAGGGTGAAACTCTGGCCACTAGATCTGTGTGGTGTTTGAGCTCATCTGGGAAGCTCTTCTTTGTTAATAAGTGTTTGAGGGAGGTGTGATTGGTTCTTTCTAGAACAGAAAGCTGGAAGTAGACTTCCAGTCTGTGATAACCTTTGGACATTTGACAAAGGAATTGTATGATTTTACTGTGAGAATATCTTACGCAGAATAGCTGAGCCTCAGGGCTTTTCGCCACCACCTCATTGTTGTGCACCAGCACCTCACAACCTTCCATCAACATCTTTATTCCCACACCTCCGCCAAGGTGAAAGCGGCATCTTAGAAGGCCTAAATTATTATGACTTTTTCAGAGTCCTTATCACTAATATTTTGAGTTAATATCTATCTCTTCTGTTAGACTGCAGTCTCCCTTCAGATAGGATCCTTGTCCAGTTGGTTTTTCTTGAGTGGCTTGTCCGTAATCCTGTTTTTGAGGAGGGTTGTTGACTGGGTTGAAGGGAAGATCTCTCTCCAGGGTTTTTAGACTCGGGTCTCAGTGTTTATCTTTTGGGGATGTTGCAGGTGACCGAGCTCAACGAACCTCTCTCCAATGAAGACCGAAACCTCCTCTCCGTGGCCTACAAGAATGTGGTCGGTGCCCGGCGGTCTTCCTGGAGGGTCATCAGCAGCATCGAGCAGAAAACCACGGCTGACGGGAATGAGAAGAAGCTGGAGAAGGTTAAGGCTTACCGGGAGAAGATCGAGAAGGAGCTGGAAACAGTGTGCAATGACGTGCTGGCCCTGCTGGACAAGTTCCTCATCAAGAACTGCAATGACTTCCAGTATGAGAGCAAGGTCTTCTACCTGAAGATGAAGGGCGACTACTACCGCTACCTGGCAGAGGTGGCTTCTGGCGAGAAGAAAAACAGTGTGGTCGAAGCTTCAGAGGCAGCCTACAAGGAAGCCTTCGAAATCAGCAAGGAGCACATGCAGCCAACACATCCCATCCGGCTGGGCCTGGCCCTCAACTTCTCTGTGTTCTACTACGAGATCCAGAACGCGCCCGAGCAGGCCTGCCTCTTAGCCAAACAAGCCTTTGATGACGCCATAGCTGAGCTGGACACACTAAATGAGGATTCCTATAAGGACTCCACACTCATCATGCAGCTGCTGCGAGACAACCTCACCCTCTGGACGAGCGACCAGCAGGACGAGGAAGCCGGAGAAGGCAACTGAGTGGCTCGGCCCACCCCCGCCCCGACCCCATCACCACCGGTCCTTCCTCACCACAGTCACTAAGTATCTAGTGCTAAACCTATCTGTATGGCAGCACAGCTACTCAGATCTGCTCTCTGCCCCCCGGGAAGCAGTTCCAGATAAATTTATGGGCATTGCTGGACTGATGGTTGCTTTGAGCCCACAGGAGCTCCCTTTCTGAATTGTGCAGACAGGTGCATTCTGAAGGAGGCATTTTCCTATGCCTGCTGATCTAGGTGAAGTGCAGGCGAAAGCCTCGGGGAAGTTAGGAGAATTAACCACACAGGCTACAGTTGGTATTTAAATGGTCCACTTAAAACCAGCTGCTAGTGTTTTGTTAAAGCAGTACATCTGTGCATGCAAAAGTGAATTCACCCCTCCCACCTCTTTCTTAGCTAATGGAAAACTGTTAAGGGAAGCTGATATGAGAGACCACTTGCTCCTTTCCATCAGCTTAATAATAAACTTTAACGTGAGGTTTCAGTAGCGCCTTGTTTGCCTCTTTAAATTATGATGTGCACAAACCTTCTTTTCAATGCAATGCATCTAAAGTTTTGATACCTGTAACTTTTTTTTTTTTTGGTTGCGACTGTTTAAGAATCATGGATTTATTTTTTTGTAACTATTTGGCTATTGTCCTTGTGTATCCTGACAGCGCCATGTGTGTCAGCCCATGTCGATCAAGATGGGTAATTATGAAATGCCAGACTTCTAAATTAAATGTTTTGGAATTCAGTGGGTAAATAAATGCTGCTTTGGGGATATTATCTCTGTGTGTATGGTCTTTGTTTTTCCTGCTCTCAAGGAGCCCTATCACGGCTCACCTCTTTGAATCCTGGTTTGAGCTCTCAAACCCTGAAGCATTTCTGGAATAGCGAGTCTTGGTGCCCCCTGATTCCATCACACGTTTTGCAGTGTACACAAAAGACTCATGAATTTTAAATAGTTTTGTGTGAACCCAGCTAACAGCCTCTCTGATCCCCTCTTCCTGTTGCTGGTCCCTGTACGGGAGGAGCCGAGCAGACCCCAATGCCGTGTTCCATGGCACAGCCCCTCTGGAAGGTGGGTGTGTGTCTGACTTTGAGGGTGTAGCTCCACTCAGCCTACTGGAACATTGGTTGCTATGTATCACTCAAAGTAGGTACATGTTCTCAGTTTTTCTTGATATTCTTTTGCACTAGATGGAATAAAATGTTAATTAGGGATCCCTGAAATAAACTTTAGTGATCATTATTAAGAAAGCTTTGAGTATTCTTTAAAAAATAAGACAGCAGAGGTTAAGAAAGAGAATGGCCTGGCCTCTAGTGCACTTTCCCCATCTGCCTGCACCTCAGGCCGCTCCTGAGGCCCTGCATCACCAAGTGGACTCTTCCTTCCCCAGGTGATGTGGACTCCAGCCACTCACGATTTCTGTCACCTCCAGCGTGGTGCTCGGGACTGGCGAAGCTTGTCGAGTGGATTGGTTCAGGTACACAAAGGCCCTAAACACCTTATTCTTTTTTTTTTTTTTTGGCAGTCCGCGGGCCTCTCACTGTTGTGGCCTCTCCCGTTGCAGAGCACAGGCTCCGGACGCGCAGGCTCAGCGGCCATGGCACACCGGCGCAGCCGCTCCGCGGCATGTGGGATCTTCCCAGACGGGGGCACGAACCCGCGTCCTCTGCATCAGCAGGCGGACTCTCAACCACTGCGCCACCAGGGAAACCCTAAACACCTTATTCTTGACTGAAGCTTGACACTAGACTGGTGGAGGTGGCCACGCCCAGTCTCTGTCCTTGAACCTACACTGTGGTGGAGCATGGACATTTAACCTATTTTCTCATCCTGAAGTAGAGGGATGACCCACATGCTAATAAGTAGTCCTTAGGAAGCCTATTTCAAGTTGACCTAATTGCCAGCAAAAATCGTTATCGGGTTTTGCTTCAATTAACAGGTCAGGTATTTTAAAGCCATGAGCTTTATGTGCCTAAGGCACTTGGCTTTGATAAAAATTCGTAGACGTTGAAACTTTGTACATTTGGAGTGCACTTCACAGAAAGGGCTTTAGAAAAAGCACTTAACGTTTTCATTTCACAACCATCTTGTGAATAGTTTTGTCCCCACCTTACAGAGGAGGAAACTGAGGTGCAGAGGTGGTGGACCTCTGGAATCAGCTGGTGCCACAGGATGGCCTCTGCCCACGACCTCTAATTCAGAGTCCTAACTGCCCTCTGGTAGGCTCCAGGCAGCCGACAACCTTTGAGGCTCAGGGCCCTCGGTTTTTGAGTAGGATTTGGAATATAAGATTTAATTCAACCCAAAGTACCATGTTCAAGGCATCTTCTTGGGTCTTGGAATGGGGTGTGGGGAAGTATGGGCACACAATTCCAATCAGCCCTACAAGTGGTAAATGGGGTTCTTTGAGAGGACTTGAAATTACACGTGGCGTAAAGCTGAAGCCTTCCCTATTGTGTGATCTCAAAGGCTTCCTTCCAGTTCTGCACACTGATGTTTTAAAACTTGTCAGTATCAAAGTAAAAAAAAAAAAGCTTGTCAAGATAAATTTATGAAATGAGATGGGGTCATCTCAGTGTTACTGCAAGGGAAACAAGACCAGAGAAATGAATGGCTTTCCCAGAGTCTCACTGCAAAGTTAGTGACAGAACCTAGACTAGCACTCAGGTCCCCTAAATCCTTGTTTATGGTTCTTTTCACCAGGTCACAGTCTTGGGGTTGAGAAGAAAAAATGGATGTGACACACATCCTATTATGGGGACACTTTCAGTGCTTTTAATATTTTCACTTAGAGTTGAATGAATTATACTTGGAAAGGAACGTTTAAATATACTGATGCTAACTAATGCTCAGATTTTCAATTACTCCTCAAACCCTGCTCAAAGGTCCATTTGTTTGAGTTGGAGGAAAGGGTAGGATTCTTGATAATGGAGCTATTGTCGGGTAAATACTTGGCCATCTTAAGTCACTTGGGGTTGGGACGCTCAGGATGCCTCTTGGTTCTGTAAAATAGGCTATGTTCAGCAGTCAGGACCTGCCATTCAGAGGCTGAGGGGGTCCTCAGTTCTCAGGAGACCGCCAAACTATGGGGCAGGCACAGGCACTGAGTCACAGCTGAGTGGGACTGAACAGATCATCTTCTGTTACAAAGAACAGCTGTTGGGCTGATGGAAACAACCATTTCAAACACCTTGTGTGTTCTGGGCACCTTAAGTGCATGGTCTCTGAGTCTTTACAGCAGCCCTGGACTGTAGGAATGATACAAGGGCCTCGCAGCTTTCAGGATCTTAGTTCCCCGATCAGGGATCAAACCCATGCCCCCTGCAATGAAAGCACAGAGTCGTAACTACTGGACCGCCAGGGAAGTCCCAGAGTGATACTATTTTTAACAGATGAGGAGAGGAGGTATCAGGTGGTATACGTAGCTGGTAAGAGGTAACACTGAGATAAAACCGGGTCAGTCCTACCTCAAGGCTTTTCCCACCACACTATGGGTTTTTTGATCCCCACCTGGAGAAAAGGAGTTCTAGAAAAGTCATAACAATAGCTAACCCCTCTGCCTCTCTGGTCTCTGTCTTTTCTTCTCCAGCCTCTGTGACATCCTACCCAAATCAAATCCTTCCTTCAGGGCCTAATGAAATGGTGTCTCTTATGAAACCTTTGATTTGGTTGAGGCCTCCCTGCTGGGCGGTTGTGAATCAGACTTGACTGATTATTCCTAGTCACCGGGCACCTCTCCCCTCCACCTCCCCTGGACTGTGGGCCCCTGTGTTGCCAAGCAAAGGAAGGGCTCCAAAAGGCTGGGGAGCTAAAGACGAAGGAATCCACTGTCAAGTTCATCTTCCCAAAGTACAGGTCCCGTTTTGGTCTGAAGGGCAGAGGCTGTACCAGGAGGGAGAGGGAAAGGACATTTGCCGACTGCCTTCTGCGGGTGACTCAGCGATCACCTGCAAAGTGGGGCCTTACATGCATTTCAATTCAGAGCTAACATTCTTGTGAACTGGAATGTAGCTCCAGTCAGGAGGCTCCGAGAGGAAAAGTGACTTTCATGAGGTCACGCAGTTGGGAAGGGGCAGAGCATCTGTGTGGGGCTCCAAGGCCCTTGCTCTTGTCATGAATGTGTCACCTTCAGGCAGAGGCTGGAAGCCTGACAGTCCAGGTATCCATTGATGGGACCTCTTCCTCCAGCCCACTTCTCTGTTACCTTCTTTACTTTTGCCTCTTCGGCCGGATCAGCCCCTTTTTTTTTTTTTTTTTTTTGCTGCCCCACCCCCACCCCCAGGCATATCCAGGGACATGGACCTTGATGCTTGTCTTCCTCCGATCCTCGGGGCTCCTTCTACCAGAAGGGAGGTACCTGTAGGGGCTACAGCTACAGGATGACTGAAGAGGTGGACCACAGCATGCCCAGCTGGGCCCACCTGTTCAGCCTGCTCTCACTTTGGCTCAGGTCTTTACTCTGCCTTCTGGAATGGCTTTCTGATCTTGGCCTCTTCAAACTCTACCTAGGAAATCCCACCTCCCTGCCAGCTACTGTGAGCCCCTCTCTGGGCTCCTGTACTGTGGGTCTGCACCACATGATGGCATTCATCACCTGTCTTGGTAACAAACATGTTGAGCTCCTATGTGGTAGGCATTGGGCAGGGTGCTGGGGGTGGATACCTTGGTGAATTACCTGTCCTTGTGGGGCTAACACTAGTGGGGGATACAATAAAAATATAAAATAATACAGTAACTATGATAATGCCACTCAGGTTCTTCTCAGCATCTAGCACACAGCTCACAGTAAGAATTTGTTGACTTCATGAGTAAATGACTGATCTGAGGCCGGAATTTTGACAAAAGAAATGACCAAAAGGAATCCTTCATTTCTGCGCCCAAATCTACCAATGAGCCATGTAAGAAACCGAGGGCCATGAGCCCTTGAGCTTGGTTCTAACATCACCTATAAACTGGCGGTGTGACCTTGAGTGTGTCCTCACCTCTCAGCGGCCTCTAAAAACGAGGCAGGTGCTTGGGGTGGTCTCTGAGTACTTTTGCATTTTGGAGATTCTGTGATTCTCTGTTATTTTCAACTGCTCTGGGATGGTCCCCATCCTCTTCCTGGCCTTTTTCCTGCTCTCCCCCCTCCCTTTTCCTTCCTCCTTTCACATCTGTCCCTTTTGCATCCGCCCTCCACCCCTCCTTCACTTTCCTGGCCACCCCCTAGTTCCAAGAGGGTTTCCATGGCAATCATCTCCTGGAAGTGACATCACTCATCTCCTAGGCAACTGTTTCCAGGGCAGTGACATCATTCGGTCACCATGGCAACCCTCCAGGAGGACAGTTCTGCAGTAAAATGGACAAATAGAATTCTTATTTATTACTGGGGGCTTGGGGACAATGTAGGGAGATTATTAACAGAAGAAAAAGATGTCAAGAACAAAAAGTAAAAGCTTTGGGCTTGTAGTGAAAAATGGGAAGCCAGGGCGGGGGCTGGGAAGGTAGGGAAAAATGGGAAGCCAGGGCGGGGGCTGGGAAGGAGCAGAAGCTCTGGGGTGAAGCCCTTCTCCTTTCTAATAACTAGGCTGACCATTTAATATGTCACCAGATTGGGACACTTGAGAGTGAATAAGGGCACCATTATTATTATACTGGATGACAGATGAAAACTGGACCTCCCTCAGCAAACCAGGGCATGTGTCCCCTGCCCAGGTCAGGCAGGTGCCTTGCCTCACTCCCTCACCTATGGCTCATCCTATAAGCGTGGATTCTGCTCTTCTGTGTGCAGGCACCG